AAGGGAAATTAGGGATACCTGAAATGTAAACAATATACCTAGTTAAGGCTAAATTGGAATATGGTCATTGGAAATTAATTAAAGCTTTAAAACAGGATTTGGATTTGTATAGGTAAAATGTCATTGATAATTTTATTACTGAATTTTATTTAAAAATACTTTATTTTGAATACTGAATACATTAACTGAGAGAATCAGAGATGGAATTTTTTAGGACCAAATTTGAGTTATATATTTATGATTTTGTATTGTTTTTTTCTCTGGATAACCGATTACCCCATCACCACGCTGGTTTCCAAGCACTTTGATGTAAAAATTGAAAAATCAATAAAACTTGTTTTTTTAAAAAAATATATACAATAATCTAACAATTAATTTTCATTTCCATTGTGAATCTAAATCCTAAGTATTAAATCAATCAATATCTCTAAAAATCTCCTTAATCCATTAAGTAAGATTTTAAGTTCCATTTTTAAATCTAACTCTGGCTTTCTTTTTGTGCCAAGCAGGTTTCCATACCAGTGCCTTTAAATCCTCAAATATGTCTCCCTTCATTCCCATGCATGCTGTTTGAATCAAGGGATAACATCCAGTTATCAATTTTTCAAAGGAACTAGCCTTTTTGTAGTTATTAGGTTGTTGCCCTAATAGTTCAAATCTCCATGTTTGGTTTGAAATGTTTATCATTAGTTCAGTCTGATCTTCTTCTTCCAGTTTCGTCTGAGTAGAATAGAAGGTCATATCCAGTGTTGTCATTGTTATTTGCTTGTCTAGATTGTCAAAGTTCTCACTATGTTGTATTTGTTGTTCAGTTCCTGTTGCTTTGGGAGTTACAGGTATTTTGGTTGAAGTCAGTATTTGATTATCAAAGTTCTCAATAGGTTGTGTGGATTGTTGTGCAGAATCCTCTATAACAGTAGTTCTCAACCTGTGGGTCGGGACCCCATTTGGGATCGAACGACCATTTCACGGTGGTCACCAAATAATGCAGTCCACCATTTTTTCCCCTTTTCCTTAGCTGTGCTACTCCCTTTTATTCTATTGGTTTTTGAAAGCCAATAGAATAGACTCTCTTGAATAGAGTCTAATTCTATTGGCTTTCAAAAGCCAATAGAAATTGTCCAGGCTGTCTCTGCCCTGCTGAGCCCGCCAAAAGTCCCATTCTGCAAACAGTGCTGCAAGTTGTCTGCAGTGAAGGCAAGCTGTCTGGAAGTTTCCACCCCTCCCTGTTGAGCAACTACTAAAAATGAAAGGCCAGGGGTGGGAGGTGGGAGGCCAGCAGGCGCAGGGAGGGTTGCTGGCACACGTGGGGCCCGGTGGGTGCCTTACCTCCCTTGGGCTGGGCCAGCTGGTGGCTCAGCCAGTGGTCGGCCTGCTCCATCTCTGCCACTTGCCAGCTACGCCTCGGCCGGCACAGGGGGCAGCACCACGCATGTGCGGTGCTCCTGGGCAGGGAAAGTCCTCGACTTACGACCAGTTGGGTAGTCCTCAACTTACAACCGGTTGGGGGTCGCGGCATTAAAAAGGTTGAGAACCACTGCTCTATAACGTTGGGTTGCTCCTCTTGATCAATTGGAGTCCGGGGTTCAATTTGTACTTTGGGGATAACATCTTTGGCTTTCACTCTGGAGTTCATTAGCTCAGTTGCTTCAAGAATTTTTTCAAGTATAAGTTTGTAGTTAAGTTGTGGGTAAAGTTCCTTCATTTCTATGGTGATTAGAGATAATCTTTTAGTGGAGGCTATGTTTAGAAAGAGTGAGCCAATGTCCACCTCCACAATTTCTAGAAGTTGTTTTCACCATCCAGCTGTTTCCAGTTCTTATCTTTTTTTTTTTTTTTTTTTGATAATGTGAAGGGCATACCAAGGGAGTCAGCAAGCTTAACAGTCAGAAAAATTCAGTTGCTGTGCCAGGCTTCGCTACAAGATGTCCCCAGTAGCCTATGAATTTTTTTCCGAGACATCAATTATGCTTTTATCCAGTTGAAAAAAAAAGAGGAAAAAAAGGATATTTTTCAAAGTTAATAGATAGATAAGATGATAAGTCTCTATAATAGGAATTTTTAGGACCCCAAAATATCCCCAAAATAAAAATCCAGTTATTTGATTATTGAAATTAGTTATTCTTTTCTTTCCAAAGCTCAGATTCCCAAGATATGCAAATGTCGATGTATTAAGAGCGGGGGGGGGGGGATTTCAGGAGACTTTCACAGGGAGGTAGTTAGGGTAAAAGAGGGGAAAGGAAAGGTCTCACCCAAATCTTCCACGGTGCTTGGTTGTGCTTTATAGTGCTTTTGGCTTTCAGCTATTACAGCTAAATGATCGGCCATGTTAATGCCAATCTTTTCTTCATCGATCCAAAGGAGCTGCCTTGGATCAAACGCAGGGATGCCGCCCTTCCATGATCTAGTGAAGGTCCTCCTCCAGGGCAACTTTCATCCCTTTTCAGAGTCTTTTGATGAAGGGAAACTGGACGGCGGAGAGAGGGCTCTTCCTTTTTGTCCGCTGGTGCCACAGTCCGGAACCAGAAGCCCCACAGTTACTGTTTTTAAGCCAGGTCTTGCCCAGTCTTGTACTTTTTCCTGCCTAAATGTAAAGCTTTGCTTTTCTCTACATTGAAACTCATTTTGTTGGACAGAGCCCATTGTTCAAGTTTGTCAAGATTCTTTTGGATCCTGAGTTTGTCTTCTAGGTTGTTGGCTACTCTTGCCAGTTTGGTGTCATCTGTAAATTTGATGAGTTCCCATTCAATTCCCTCGTCTAAATTTATGAAGATATTGAAGAGTACTGGGCCTAGGGCAGAATCTTGTGGTACCCCACTGCTTACTTCTCTCCATGTGGACTTTGTGCCATTGAGGACTACTCATCGAGTACAGTTTGTCAGCCAGCTATAGATCCATCTGGTAGTGATGTTGTCTATTCCACCTTTTTCTAGCTTACCAAGGAGTAGGCTGTGGTCTAGCTTATCAAATGCCTTATTGAAGTCTAAGTATACTACGTCCACAGTATTTCACTGGTCTATTAGTTGAGTCACTTTATCGAAGAACGAAATAAGATTGGTTTGGCATGATCTCTTTTTGACAAACCCGTGCTGGCTACTAGTTATAATTTTGTTTGCTTCTAGTTGTTCACTGGTCTAGTTGTTTTTGATTATCTTTTCCAGGATCTTCCCAGATATTGATGTTATACTGATTGGTCTGTTGTTTCCTGTGTCTGTTTTTTTTCCCCCTTTCTTGAAGATGGGAACTACATCAGCCCTTTTCCAATCCTCAGGTATTTCCCCGATGCTCCAGGATTTTTGAAGATATGATGCAATAGTTCTGAGATAACATCTGCCAGCTCCTTCAGAACTCTGGGATGTAATCTGCCGGGTCCTGGTGATTTATATTTGTCAAAGTCAGATAGGTGTTCTCTTGCCATTTTCTTGCTTATTTTAATTTTTGTTTCTAATTTGTCTTTTGCAGTGGTTTTTTTTTCATATGTTGGGCTATGGTTTCTTTTTGTGTGAAGACTCATGCAAAGTATGAGTTAAGCAGTTCTGCTTTCTCCCTGTTGCCTCTTATTTCCTTGCCATCTTTTGTCTTTAATGGGCTTACAGTTTCCTTGACTTTTTTCTTGTTATTAATATATTGGAAGAAACTTTTTTTATTATCCTTGATCTGTTGTAAGTCTTTGTTCGTTCTGAGCCTTTGTTTTCCTGACTTCATCTTTTCATGTTCTGCCTGTCTGCTGACAATCAGCCTTAGTTATGTGCCCCTCTTTCCATTTTTTGTATTTGTCCTTTTTGTCTTTCAGTTTGTCAGAGAGATCTTTATACAGCCATGCTGGTTTCTTCTTAAATTTCTTGTTTTTCTTTTTCAGTGGTATTGTACTGGACTGGACTTTTATGATCTCATTTTTCAGAGTTAGGGTTAGGGCAGTGGTTCTCAACCTGTGGGTTGGGACCCCATTTGGGGTCAAACGACCATTTCACTGGGGTCGCCAAACAACGCAGTCTGCCATTTTTTCCCCTTTTCCTTAGCTGTGCTACTCCCTTTTATTCTATTGGCTTTTTTTTACTGAAAATTTTTGAAATTTTACAGAAAAAAAAATTCCCCTCCCCAACCCTCCCAACCCACCCCAACCCTCCCCCAACCTTCCCAGAGCTGAATACAGGCTTAATTAAAACTTAAAGGAAAAGTTTTTAAACACATGTAAACCATAAGCAATTAATTACAATAATTAAACGAATTAAAAAATACTTTAAAACCTAATTAGAATTTCTTAAAATCTTAAAAAAAATTAAGAAAGTATAAACCATAGATAAGTCTAAATACATTACATAAACAAGTTATAAAGTAATTAACAATAATATATATTTTAAAAAAAAGCATAAATATTAAAAAAATGCTTAAAAAGAAAAAGAATAAGAAAAAAGAAAGAAGAAAAGAGGTATTCTATTGGCTTTTGAAAGCAATAGAATAGACTCTCTTGAATAGAGTCTAATTCTATTGGCTTTCAAAAGCCAATAGGAATTGTCCAGGCTGTCTTTGCCCTGCTGAGCCCGCCAAAAGTCCCATTCTGCAAACGGTGCTGCACCAGTTGAGTAGTCCTTGACTTACAACCGGTTGAGTAGTCCTCGACTTACGACCGGTTGGGGGTCGCAGCATTAAAAAGGTTGAGAACCACTGGGTTAGGGAGTACTGATGAGAACACTACTTGTGCTCCTACCTTCTTGACTTCAATGCCAAGTTGTTTGTAGTCTCTCATTATTGTACTCAGGTTGTTTCCTGTGTCATTCTTCCCAATGTGGAGGAGAAGGGGGGGGTAGTAGTCTGTGGTCTGATGATTTTGGTTAGTTTCTCAGCCACATTTTGATTTTTGCTCCAGGGATTTTTGCTCCAGGGATGTTTGTGAAGCCAGCAATAGGCTGAATTTTTTTTAACGTACAATAAATCAAAAAGATCAAATAAAGTAAACAGATCTATAGGAAAATTATGCTTTTTATGGTGTTTTTAAACATTTAAGCCTGCGTGGGAATAGCACACAATTTGTAAGGATGTGGATGCATTATCATCTTTGCAATAGATGCTTCATTGAGTTCTTTCGCTCTTTCAGGCAACCAGAAGCTGAAGGCCCTCAACAGGCTGGTCAGAAAGATGAAGATCTCAATTCTTGCCAGCTGCTGTCCCACACATGCACGCACACCTGTAGATGAGACAAAGCATGCATAAAGGGAGTCATAATCTGTTCTCCAGAGTATAACCCATCGGCAAGTAAATCTGAAATATTTTGTAACCGTCAAAATAGATTTCCATGAGACGAACTCACATCAAGAGAATTTATGGGGTCCTAGTAGAATTGAACTCAGAAGCAGAGTTAGTTAAAGAATGTATGATTAAATGGGCACAAAACTTTGGTGAACTGGTTCTACTAGATACCTGGGAAACTATTTGGGTGAGGAACGTTAGATTTACGCAAGCCCAAAATCTAAGGGAGAATTTTTATAAAATGTTTTATAGATGGCACCTTGATCCACAAAAAATGTCTCGTATGTATCCTGATCTACAGCCTAAATGTTGGAGATGCGGATGTTTGGATGCTACATACTATCATATCTGGTGGTCGTGTAAAAATATAAAAGTTTTTTGGATTAAGATATGGTGGAATATTCAAAGAATTTTTAGAAGGAGGGTAAAATTTACCCCACAACTGTTTTTATTAGGTATTGTTACTGATTGTGATACCAAAGATATCACATTGATGTTAAACTTAATTACAGCTGCAAGGTTGTTAGTAGCACAATGTTGGAAGAAGGAATCTTTGCCTACTTTGCAAGAGTGGCTTTTTAAAGTTTCTTATTTGGCGGAAATGGCAAAGATTTCGGCCTTCCTGAAGGATCAATCACAAGAGAAGTATGTTGTGGTGTGGAGGAAATGGATAGACTTTATACAACATAAGATGGATATTAAAAAATATTATTTAGCTTTTTAATAATTTATATTGAAAAGCTAACTTTCTTGAAAAGCCAAATTTTTTTTTATTTTATTTTATTTTTCTTCTTTTCTTTTTCCTATTTCTTTTCTCTTTTTTTTGTATTTATCTTTCTTTATATATATTTTACTCTTAATTATTTTATAATTTGTTTAAGTAATATATTTAGATTTGTTTACAGTTCTATAACTTATATTGAAAAGTTAATCTCTTTTTCATGTTTTTTATGCATTTCTCTTTTTTTCTTTTTTTCTGGTATTTATGTTTTTTTTTACATATATATTATTGTTAATCATTTTGTAATTCATTTAAGTAATGTATTTAGACTTACTTATATTTTATATTTTTCTTAAGACTTTTTGAAGAAATTTTAATTAAGCCTATATCTAGCTTTGGGATAGTCGGGGGAGGGAGGGGGAGGGTTGGGGAGGGATGGGGAAAATTGTTTTGTTTTGTTTTGTTTTTGTTATTGTAAAATCCTAAAAATTTTCAATTAAAAAAAAAAAGATTTCCATGCTGAATCCTAGTAACTTCCCACAGATTCGATTCTTAGAGATGTTTTCTCCCATTTAACTCTGTTTGTTGACACCCATCAAGGGGATGAATTAACTCAGGTTCTTGTTAGTCTTTGCTTGCTGCACCCAGCTGCCTGGACAAATGTGGGATTCACAGTCTGCAAAACAGCCCCTTCTTCCTGTCCTCCTCAGAGTAATTGCTATTGTAGCGTTGGGCCAATTTTGACTTTTTTTGCCAGGGATTTAAATATTCATGTTCATATTGTCAGTTCAGGAATGGTTCAGGATGTCACGTTTGCTGTGGATCTGCCCCAGCTACTAAAAGAAATTAGGATTCCTTGATTTGCTATTCAGAGCATGATCACCTCAGAACAACTCAGGGGTGGGGGTGGAGATCAGTAAGCTGGCCAGAATCACTTGGTAATGAGATGGGTGGAATATAAATTAAATTAATAAAATAATAAAACAAGAAACGAGTAAGCTGCTTTGGGCTCATGGATTTACCTATTCCGAAGGGCAGAAACTCTTCTCGTTCAATGAACTTCCCATCCTTGTCTAAAAAGTGATTTGGATTGAATTTTTCAGGTGTCTCCCATTGTTCAGGGTCAAGAAGAACAGAGCGCAGGTCTGGGATGATAATGGTCCCCTGTAAAAAAAAGAGATGACTAAATGGAGCAGTTTTGTAAAGGAAACAAGCAAAAAAGCTCACACAATATTGATGATCCCCTTGCTCATAGATTGCCTTTACGGACCCATGTTTGTTCGTTTCTCAGAGCACTTTCTGAGAGCAGTGGCTGCTCAACAGCTGAATTTCCTTCCTCTTAACTAAAGTCACCTTGTCTCTTAAAGAAGGGGACAAAGAAACATGCCTATACATGACTACAATTCTGATCTTAAGTTCAGCCCTTATCATCTTCCTAGGATAAATAGAAAATGTTTAAGGTTCTAGTTTTAAAAGGTGAGGTGTTTGGATTGAAACCCATAACTCATCCCTCAAAAATGTATGCTATTCTTGTTTATTCTATTTTGCATGACTGTTCCTTCCAAGTGCCCTATTCTCTTTTTCCTTCCATGCTGGGCTACTGCAGTGCATCCTGAACATGTTTTCTCACCTTTGGCATGTGGTAACCCCCCATCTTCACATCCTTTGTACTTTGCCTGGCAATCCCATATAGCAAGACGTATTTTACACGTTGCATTTCATGAATCACGGCATTGGTGTAGGGCAGCTTCTTCTTATCCTGATAGGAAATTGACCCCGATAAGCCAAACACATCTTCAATCTCTTTCTGGATTTTCTCTAGAAAAAAAAATGATGGAAACAGAAGCTTCATTTTCAGTATTGTGTTTATTCATTCCTTTATTTATTCATTTCCTAATTTTAATCCTCAGAAGTATCAAGCAATCCTTTATTATGGTCACAGAGCAGAGTTAAAAATTGAACTTTAAAAAAAATTAACAGGACAAGACATATTACATTAAAGCTTGTGGTGAGATTATCAATAGGTGACCAATTCTGCCTAATTTTACAGACGGTTTAGAGGAATTTAGCTACGTTCAAAGAAACTGTCTCATACTAGCCAATAGTAACACCTGTACACAAAAGAGATGAGAATTTCCCAGAATATTTTACCAGGCAAGGAGTTATAAAATGAGTGCAATGAATCCTTACAGAGCAGAGTTCCCCAACCTTTTGGGTACCAGGACCAGTTCCATGGAGAGAGGTTTTTTCGCGGCCCGGAGGGTGTGTGGTTTTGTGTGCTGCCTGCGTCTTGTGGATGGGGCTCTGCTTGTTTGTGCAGACTGGTTGCTGGCATGCTGTGGCCCAGTACTGATCCATGGACTGGGGGTTGGGGACCCCTATTATAGAGGGAATAACATAACAGGACCTGAACTGTAATTTCAATTGTCCCTTGTCTACACGGAATGGGACAATTCATGACAGCCAACTCTCCACGGCCAACTCACCATGACGAAGTTGTTGTGGGACAATTCGCCACAGCCAACTTGCTGTGGGACAACTCACCACAGGACAATTTGTATTTCAAATACTTTCTTTGTTTTAAAACCTGAGATTGGCCCTTTGTTCCCACTGCCCAGATTTCGCTCACCTTGGATGTCGGGATGATTGGTCAAGAGGAGCAGGGCCCACTGCAGAGTAGCAAAGGTTGTGTCTGTCCCAGCAGAAAAAAAATCAAAAATACACTGAGCCAGGTTCTCTTCATCGTAGGTAGAATCGGGGTCATTCCTGCTCTGATGTTTAAAATAGGAAATGAAAATTACAATGAATTCTAGGCAGCTTTCCTGTGATTGTTTTTGTTTCTGTGTCACCTGTCCTATTGGTTTTTAGTTTCTTATTTAATATTTCTCATTTTAAGTGTTTTGTACTACCTTTTTTACTTTTTACGTTGCCCAGAATCTTTGTAACAGTGAAATGGGAGGCGTATGAATTTAATAAATAAATAAAATTTATACTGATGAGATCATGATAGAGAGTAAAATATGAAGCAGCATCAAACCATTAATAGGTGGAAAATACATCTTAATCTCTTTAGGAATGAGAGTCAATAATAATAATAATAATAACTGAATAACTCAGGACATGGCTATCAAACATCAAAAACATCTGCCAGACTATCCCACCTCCTTTACATGGATGATCTGAAGCTGTATGGAAAAACATTATCTGAAATAGAATCGCTGCTCAACACTGTCCGTATATATAGCCAAGATATTGTAATGGAGTTTGGCTTGGACAAATGTGCCACACTTACTATCAAACACGGAAAAATAGTGAAAACTGAAGGAATCAAGATGCCCCACGAAAATAACATTAAGAGTCTGGATGAGGAAGAATACTACAAATACTTGGGTATCCTTCAAGCTGACAATATCAAGCACACTGAAGTCAAGAAAAAGATTAGAGGTGAATACATCAAGAGAGTGAAGAAGATCTTAAAGTCCAAACTCAATGGAGGAAATACCATAAAGGCAATCAACACCTGGGCCATCCCAGTCATTAGGTACACAGCTGGAATAGTGGACTGGACTCAAGCAGAACTAAAAACAATGGATAGGCAGACCAGAAAAATAATGACAATGAATCATGCCCTTCATCCACACAGTGACATTGATAGACTTTATCTACCAAGGCAAATAGGTGGGCGTGGAATGCTACAAGTACATCAGATGGTTGAAGAAGAAAAAATGGCTTTGGAAGAATATCTGAAGAACAATGATGAAGAAGCACTGAAATTAGTATATCAGGAAGGCTTACTAACTACTGGAGAGACCAAACTGGCCTACAAGAAAGACCAAATGAAGAACAGAATAGAGGCATGGGAAGACAAAGCACTACATGGCCAATACATGAAAAAAATAGCTGGGAAAGCAGATAATAATAAAACCTGGCAATGGCTAAGAGCAGGAAAATTGAAGAAAGAGACCGAGGGACTAATTCTGGCTGCACAAGACCAAGCCTTAAGGACAAATGCATACAAAGTCAAAATTGAGAAGACAGCAAAAGACAGTAAGTGCCGCCTATGCAAAGAAGCTGAAGAAACAGTGGACCACTTGGTAAGCTGTTGCAAGAAGATTGCACAGACTGATTACAAGCAGCGGCATGACAAAGTAGCAACAATGGTGCATTGGAAGATCTGCAAAAAATATCATTTGCCTGTAAGCAAAAACTGGTGGGATCATAAAATAGAGAAAGTCATAGAAAATGATAAAATTAAACTGCTCTGGGACTTCAGAATTCAAACAGACAAGCACCTGCAACATAACACCCCAGACTTAACAATTGTCGATAAGAAAGACAAAAAAGTCTGGATAGTGGACGTGGCAGTGCCTGGAGACAGCAGAATAGAAGAGAAAGAACTGGAGAAGATAACAAAATACAAAGACCTACAAATAGAAATAGAAAGACTGTGGGGCAAAAGCAAGCAAGGGTAGTACCAATAGTAATAGGCTCCTTGGGTGCAATCCCAAAACAACTGGAGCACCACTTGAACACCATTGGCATTGACAAATTCGCTATTAGTCAATTGCAAAAGGCGGCCTTACTAGGAACTGCTTCCATCCTGCGACGATATCTGTAATACCATCAAACATCCAAATCTGCCTATCCCAGGTCCTGGGTAAGGACTCGAAAGGTAGACAAAATGCCAAATCCAGTCTGAACATCTGGCTGACTGTGCGATGATCAATAATAATAATAATAATAATAATAATAATAATAATAATAATAATAATAATAATAATAAAAAGTTGGAAGGGACCTTGGAGGTCATCGAAGAAACAAAGTATGAACAGCAAACAGGGTGAACTAGAAATTCAGGTTAATGAGGGCAGATACGATATTGTTGCCATTACGGAAACATGGTGGGATGAAACTCACACATGGAACACACAGCTAGAGGGATTTAATTATTTAAAAGAAACAGACCAAATAAAAGAGAGGTGGAGTTGCTCTCTATATAAGAAATAACTACATCTTCACAGAAATAGAGTACAACAATGATAAAAACTGTCTTGAATGCATTTTGGGTCAATATAAAAGGGGGGGAAATGACATTGCCATAGGTGTACTACTACAGACCCACCCAACCAAACAGAGGAAATAGCTGAACTTTTTGCTAGTCAGCTAACTAAGGTATGTAGGAAGCACATCACAATAGTAATGGGGGACTTTAACTACCCTGACATCAACTGGGAGACAAACTCTGCCCAAGTGGAAGATCAAACAGGTTCTGGCAACCTAGCAGACAACTTTGTCTCCCAAAAAGTAGAGAATGGAACTAGGGGATTAGCCATTTTGGATCTAATTCTCACTAACAGAGATGAAATGATAGACGGTGTTGGAGCCATAGGAACCCTGGGAGGAAGTGATCATGCAATATTAGAATTCACATTATAGAAGCACAAACCAATAGAACACAGTCAAACTAGAGTCTTGGACTTCAAGAGAGCTAATTTCAATAACTTAGAGAGGCTTGGGAAGGATTCCATGGATGACATCCTCAAGGGGAAAACAACTCAAGAAGCTTGGGAAATTTTGAAAAATGATAATAAAAGCACAGTCTAGCACAATACAACAAGAGAAAAACAACAGCTCTCAAAAGAAACCAGCATGGCTGCATAAAGAACTCTCTGACAAATGAAAGATCAAAAGGACAAGTATAGAAAGTGGAAAGAGGGGAACATAACTAAGTCAGAATATCAGCAAATAGCCCGAGCCTGCAAAGATGAAGTGAAGAAAGCAAGGCTCAAAATGAACTGAGGCTTGCGACCAAAGTCAAAAATAACAAAAAAAGCTTCTTTCAACATGTAAAAAACAAGAAAAAAGTGAAGGAAATGATTGGTCCATTAGTGGGTGAAGTGGCAAGAAGGTGACAAGCAACAGGAGAAAGCAAATATTTAACTCATTTTTGCATCTGTCTTTACACAAAGGGAAAAAACAGACCAACCTATCAAAAATAGTGCCACAAAAAAACAAAACAGAAACACAAGTTAAGATAGGCAAGAAAATCGTAGTGAGCACCTGTCCAGCCTAGATGAGTTTCAAATCGCCAGGACCAGACGGATTACACCCCAGAGTTCTCAAGGACTGCAGATGTGATATCGGAGCACTGAACTATATTTTCAAAGATCCTGGAACACAGGGGAACTACCAAGGACTGGGAGAGCTGATGTAGTTCCCATCCTCAAAAAAGGAAAAAAAATGGATCCAGGAAATTACAGACCTATCAGCCTGACCTCAATACCTGGAAGATCCTGGAAAAGATAATCAAACAACGAATCAACGAACATCTAGAGGCAAACAAAGTCATTACTAAAAGCCAACATGGGTTTGTCAAAAATAGATCATGCCAGAAAATCTTATTGCATTCTTTGACCAAGTGACAAAATTAGTGGATCAGAGGAATGCTATGGGAACATAATTTACTTGGACTTCAGTAAGGCATTTGATAAAGTAGATCCAACCTACTATTGACAAGATAGAAAAATGTGGGGTAGACAGAACCACCACCAGATGGATCCGTAGCTGGCTGACCGGCCGTACTCAGCGGAGTGGTCCTCAATGGAACTGCATCTATATGGAGGGAAGTGTGTAGTGGGGTGCCCCAGGGCTCTGTTCTGGGCCCAGTACTCTTCAACATCTTCATCAACGATTTGGATGAAGGGATAGATGGGGAACTCATCAAATTTGCAGATGACACCAAGCTGGCAGGAATAGCCAACACTCCAGAAGACAGCTTCAGATACAGAAGGATCTGGACAGACTGACACTGGCACAACTAACAATGAAATTCAATGGTGAAAAAGCAGTTTCTACATTTAGGCAAGAAAAACCAAATGCACAAGTACAGCATAGGTGGCACCATGCTCAATAGTAGTAACTGTGAGAGGGACCTCGGGTCCTAGTAGACAATCACTTAATATGAGCCAGCAGTGTGCTGCAGCTGCCAAAAAGGCCAACACAGTGCTAGGCTGCATAACAGAGGGATAGAATCAAGATCACGTGAAGTATTAATACCACTCTTCAATGCCTTGGTAAGGCCACACTTGGAATACTGCATCCAGTTTTGGTCACCACGATGTAAAAAAGATGTTGAGACTCTAGAAAGAGTACAGAGAAGAGCACAAGATGATTAGGGGACTGGAGGCTAAAACATATAAGGAACGGTTGCGAGAATTGGGTATGTCTAGTTTAACGAAGAGAAGGACAAGGGGGGACATGATAGCAGTATTCCAATATCTCAGGGGCTGCCATAAAGAAGAGGGAATTAAGCTATTTTCCAAAGCACCTGAAGGCAAGGACAAGAAGCAACGGGTGGAAACTCATCAAGGAGAGAAGCAACCTAGAACTAAGGAGAAACTTCCTGACAGTGAGAACAATTAATCAGTGGAACAGCTTGCCTCCAGAAGCAGTAAATGCTCCAACACTGGAAGTTTTTAAGAAGAGACTGACAGCCATTTGTCCGAAATGGTGTAGGGTTTCCTGCCCGACCAGGGGGTGACTAGATGGTCTCCAGGTCCCTTCCAACTTTACTACTATTACTAACTGCTTCCATCCTGCGACGATATCTGTAATACCATCAACATCCACATCTGCCTATCCCAGGTCCCTGGGTAAGGACTCGAAAGGTAGACAAAATGCCAAATCCAGTCTGAACATCTGGCTGACTGTGCGATGATCCATAATAATAATAATAATAATAATAATAATAATAATAATAATAATAATAATAATAATAATAATAATATAATAATAGTAAAGTTAGAAGGGACCTGGAGGTCATCTAGTCCAAACCCTCTGCTCAGGCAGGAAACCCTATACCATTTCTGACAAATGGCTGTCAAGTCTCTTCTTAAAAACTCCAGTGTTGGAGCATTCACGCTTCTGGAGGCAGGTTGTTCCACTGGTTAATGGTTCTAACTGTCAGGAAGTTTCTCCTTAGTTCTAGGTTGCTTCTCTCCTTGATTAGTTTCCATCTGTTGCTTCTTGTCCTGCCTTCAGGCACCTTGGAAAATAGCTTGACTCCCTCGTCTTTGTGGCAGCCCCTGAGATATTGGAACACTGCTATCATGTCCCCCCTCGTCCTTCTCTTCATTAAACTAGACATACCCAATTTCCAGCAACCGTTCCTATATGTTTTAGCCTCCAGTCCCCTAATCATCTTTGTTGCTCTTCTCTGTACTCTTTCTAGAGTCTCAACATCTTTTTTACATCGGGGTGACCAAAACGGGATGCAGTATTCCAAGTGTGGCCTTACCAAGGCATTGTAGAGTGGTATTAATACTTCACGTGATCTTGATTCTATCCCTCTGTTAATGCAGCCCAGCACTGTGTTGGCCTTTTTGGCAGCTGCAGCACACTGCTGGCTCATATTTAGGTGATTGTCCACTAGGACTCCGAGCTCCCTCTCACAGTTACTACTATTGAGCAAGGTACCCCCTATACTTAAGAAGATTGTATATCTTGAATGTGAAGACCAGACCAATGATAAACTCAAGACTGATGATATCAAATTAAACAAAGTGACCTGGTTCAGATACAAGGCTCTTACTTGACTTCTGATGCCCTACTGAATTACTGTGCCTTGTGACTATAGAGACACTAAAACTATGTGAAATGGGGAGCCCAGCTCTAAGGCACTTCAAATCGATAAGTTACTTCTAAAAAAGTCATTCTGGGTCTTTTCCCCCAAACGTTGGAAAGGACGACCTTTTTGTTTCCAATTATTTTACATTTTTACTTATGGTCAAGGCTATGGAAGTATCTGTCCTTTTCCAATCATTTCAGGGATTAAGTATGAATTAATCAAAATCCCTACCCTGTTCATTCTTTTAACAATAGCCATAGCCCTTAGACTTATATATCACTTCACGTCCTTTAAAGCCCTCTCTAAGTGGTTTACAGAGTCAGCATATTTACCCCCAACAATCTGGATCCTCATTTTACCAACCTTGGAAGGACGGAAGGCTGAGTCAACCTTGAGCTGGTGAGACTCGAAAAGAAACATTTCCTTCTTAATGGAACTTCTTTAGAAAAAGGAGCGGTAGGTGAACATGAGAGGCTGACAAATAGAAGCCATTGAGTTCTGTTCCCCCCCCACACACACACACACACACCTTCTATGTCTAACAAGAGCAGAGGTACAATACAGTTCTTATTTCAAAGCATGGGCTATATTCACAATGGGAGCTGAATAAAAAAGAAAAAAAAATCCAAGATGAAGGAACACGTGATCAGTAGCTCTGCCTGTTTATTTACAGCAAGGAATATAATACTTTCTTGCCCTTGTATTGAGCCACAATAAACACAAACCTTCTCCATCCGAAGAAGATAGTAATCGATGAAATCTTGAGGCTCGTGCAGAGAGTGAGATTCCTTGTGTTTCTCTATTTCCTGCTTTGCAAACGCAAGGATAATATCCACCGAAGCCAGGGCTTTCTTGTGAGGGCCTGGAAGATACTTCATTAATCTGGGGAACAAAGTATAGATCTAACAGAAAAAGAGAAGGAAAAGTTATTATTTCCCACCACAGGTAAAGGAGGGAAGGGTCAAACACATCAGAAGTCATGAGTTCCTGCATGCCCACAAAGATCTAAGTCCCGCCCAGCTTAAATGCCTTTCTTAACTCTCGCAAATTTCCCTCAACTGGTAGTAGCTGTTGGTTGTGTATCAGGAAAAAAAATAACAAGAACTGTTCAATGATGTACTGACCCTTTGCTAGAGGTGTTTAGACATCGGGTGGATGGCTGCTGATACTGAAATGATGGATTCCTCCATGGAGAGAGCCACTTTGGTATAGTGGTAAAGACACCAGCTTAGAAACTAGGAGGCAGTAGGTTCTGGTCTTAATCAGGCACTAAGTCAATACACACACACACACACACACACACACACACACACACACACACACACAGGTTTCGCGGGTGTTTGTATGTAGGTCTTTGGTTATTCGGGTTTTCTTCTGCTTAAAATTGGAAGTGTCTTGGCGACGTTTCAACGAAGTCCCATTCGTCATTTTCAAGCTGGTGTTTTCAGCTTCGTGCTTCGAGGAGCAATGTGTGGTCTTAGCTGTTTCTTCCTTTTAACTGCCAATGGGGGTATGAACTGATTGGGTGGGAGCTTGGCTGTGTTCTGATTGGGTGGAGGTGTGTTCTGATTGTTTAGGGGCTTGGCTGTGCTCTGATTGGCTGGGGGGTTGGCTGTGCTCTGATTGACTGGGGGCTTGGCTGTGTTCTGATTGGCTGGGGGGTTGGCTGTGCTCTGATTGGCTGGGGGAGTGTTCTGTTTGGGTGGGGGCTTTGTTGTGCTCAGGTTAGTCTGAGTTGCAGGGGGATTTAAGATGGTGGTCTGCCTTGCTATTTTTTGGCTTCGCGTTCGTGGTCATGCCTCATCTTCATGGAGGGTGTCAGTTTGCTTCATGTATGGATTGGAGGGGTTTAAAGTGGCTAATGATGCAGCTGTGGTCTGGCTTCTGGTTTGTGGTCGTGCCTCATCATCGGTGTGGCTTTGGGTTTGCTTTTTGCGTGGATGTGTGGTGGTGACATCCTGTGTGGTTTTTGTGAGTGTGGGTCTGGTGTCATTTTTTGTGTTAGGGAGTCATTTGTCAATAAAGGCGGGTTTCCAAATGGCTGGTAGGCGGGAGGTATCATCTTGTTTGTTCATGCTGTGTCGGCATTTTTCTATCTCGACGGCTTCTCTGATTATTCTGTTATTAAAATGTTCAGTTTTGGCGATAGTTCTGATATTTTTAAAGTCAATTTCATGTCCTGTGGCTTTAAGGTGTTGGACCAGAGAAGATGTTGGTTCCTCTTCTTTGATTGAGTTCTTATGTTCTTCAATGCATGCACTTATTCTTCTGTTGGTTTCTCCGATGTATGTGTTGGGACAAGCAGTGCATGGGATTTCATATACTCTTTGATTTTCTAACTCAATTTTATCTTTGGGGTTTCTTAGGATGGTGAATATTTTTTTGTTTGTGCAGAATGCTGTTTTGATGTTGTGTTTATGGAGGATCTTGCTGATTCTGTCTGTGGCGCCTTTTATGTATGGGAGGAGGGCTTTGCCGTTTTCTTGTTCTCTGTCTTGGATTTTAGTAGGGGTTTCTTTTTGGATTAGGTTTGTAATCTTATTTCTTTGGAATCCATTGGATGTTAGTACATTGGTGAGAGTGTGTAGTTCAGTTTTTAGGTGTTGTTCATCAGCTAAGCATTTTGTTCTGGAGATGAGTATCTTGGCTACAGAGTTGATTTGTGCTGGGTGGTGGTGTGAGAGAGCGTGCAGATAGCAGTTAGTGAGCTTCGATGTCATATCCCTCTTCACCCAAGTGCTTATCAAAGAAGCCTTGACAGCTATCCAAAACAAATATAACCCCCCCAAACACATCTTAGATCTGACCAACCACTGCCTATCCAACACATACTTCATCTATAATGGACAAAAATACAAACAAACAGAAAGAGCACTCATGGGATCACCCCTCTCACCTGTCATTGCAAACCTCTACATGGAACACTTTGAAACCCAAGCTCTAGAAAAATCGGATCACAAACCCAAACTCTGGCTCAGATACGTAGATGACACCTTCATAATCTGGTCGCATGGGAAAGAAAAACTGGACAACTTCCTCACACACCTCAACAGCCTATACCCCAAAATACAGTTCACCATGGAAACAGAAGCTAATAACCAACTTCCCTTCCTAGATGTCTTAGTCTACAAGATATCCAATGGCTCCCTAGGACACACCATCTACCAGAAGAAAACACACACTAACCACTATCTGCATGCAAAACTGAACATTTTAATAACAGAATAATCAGAGAAGCCATCGAGATAGAAAAACGCCCACACAGCATGAACAAACAAGATGATACCTCCCACCTACCAGCCATTTGGAAACCCGCCTTTATTGACAAATGACTCCCTAACACAAAAAATGACACCAGACCCACACTTACAAAAACCACACAGGATGTCACCACCACACATCCATGCAAAAAGCAAACCCAAAGCCACACCGATGATGAGGCACAACCACAAACCAGAAGCCAGACCACAGCTGCATCATTAGCCACTTTAAACCCCTCCAATCCATACATGAAGCAAACTGACACCCTCCATGAAGATGAGGCACGACCATGAACGCGAAGCCAAAAAATAGCAAGGCAGCCCACCATCTTAAATCCCCCTGCAACTCAGACTAACCTGAGCATAACAAAGCCCCACCCAAACAGAACACTCCCCCAGCCAATCAGAGCACAGCCAACCCCCCAGCCAATCAGAGCACAGCAGAGCAAGCCCCTAACCAATCAGAACACACCTCCACCCAATCAGAACACAGCCAAGCTCCCACCCAATCAGTTCATACCCCCACTGGCAGTTAAAAGGAAGAAACAGCTAAGACCACACATTGCTCCTAGAAGCACGAAGCTGAAAACACCAGCCTGAAGACGACGAATGGGACTTTGTCAAAACGTCACCAAGACACTTCCAATTTTACGAGGGAGAAAACCCCGAATAACCAAAGACATACATAGATACATACATACATACATACATACATACATACATACATACATACATACTTGTTTTCTGAGGTTTTCGTGGGTGTTTGTATGTAGGTCTTTGGTTTTTCGGATTTTCTCCCACGTAAAATTGGAAGTGTCTTGCCGACATTTCGACGAAGTCCCATTTGTCATCTTCAGGCTGGTGTTTTCAGCTTCACATTGCTCCTAGAAGCACGAAGCCGAAAACACCAGCCTAAAGATGACGAATGGGACTTCATCGAAACGTCACCAAGACACTTCCAATTTTATGCGGGAGAAAACCCGAATAACCAAATACATACATACATATATACTGGGAAGAAGAGTACAATAGATGATTTCCAAAACTTCCTCTGTGCCATCCATTCCATGGTTCCATGAAAATACTGGTGGGAACATAGTTTGTTTAGGTGGCTTTGGTTCCTTAGTAGAAAATCCGACTCACCACATGAAAAGTGTCACCAATGAATTTCAAAGTAATTTGAAGAGCTTGAACCAGCTTCTGGAAGTTTTCATCTTCAGGTTCAAACTGATGACCAAAACTCAATGCACATATGACATTAGAAACTGTATTTAGTACTGAAAATGAAGGGTCAAATGGCTGCCCTGTAAAGGAAAATATTTTATAATGAATCCAGCCTCCCAACTTAATCTGTTTGTACTAGAATCAGGATTATACAGCTGAAGAGATTTCGGACATCTTCTAGTCTGGTTTGTGCTCACGGCACTGGCAGATGTGCGGGGCGATCGCTCTCTCCGCCATCTGGTTTTCTCCTGCCTGTAGACCCTGAAAAGGATCGGAAGTCACCCTGGAGGGGTGACAAGCATGAAGAGGACCTCCAACTGATCGTGGAAGAGTGGCAGCTCTCCCGTTTGATCCAGAGCAGCTCTTTGAACTGACGGGGAAAATATCGGCCATTAGTATGGCCCATCACTAAGCCGTTACCTTCCGAGGCCAAAATTACTATCAAGCACTTTGAAAGCACCGCAGATGAATTGGGCAAGATCTTACCTTCTTTGTATCTCAAGTATTTTCCTGCAAAAAGCCTCTTGAAATTTCTTCCCCCTGTGAGGAGAGAGGGAACGTCTTTCTCCCACCCTCTAAAATGGCAGCATCTGACTACTTGGGAAAATAAAGCCTTGAAAAGAACAACTAAGTATTTGGATTTGCATCTTTTTGATATTTGGGGACCCAAAAAGTTCCTACTTTCATGAGGATCTGTTACCTTATCTACCTGTAAAAAAGATGAAAGGATAAAAACCCAGCCTGTCCTGAAAAAGTCTATAAATGCTATCAGGGACATCTTGTGGTGAAGTTTGGTACAGCAAGTGAATATTCTTGACCAAGAGACCTGCTTACAGCCTAGACCTGTCCTTGGTATTATCTAAGAGAGATTAAAAAGCTGAGAGAACAGATGGGTGGTGAAACTGGCTTTTAGGAACTGTGGAGGTGAACACTTACTGACTCTTGTTTAAAAAATAGCCTCCACTAAAGGACCATTCATAACTATCTCAGAAATGGAGGAGGACCAGCAACAAATTTTGGCTAATTACAAACTTATAGTTGAAAAAAATCTTGAAGCTACTGAGATAATTAAATCTAGACTGAAAGACAAAGGTACCAACTTAAACCTACAAAATGAAACCCTGATTCCATCTAAAGAACTTACAATTCAAAAAACAACAGAAGTGATTTATGACAGAAGATCCTAATGTCTCAACTAATGGGCTAAAGGGAAATTTTGAAATGAAGGGAAATGTGATTATAGATTTAACTATTGTTGAAACATGATAAAAAATAAGGGATTAATTGGCTTAATATTTAGGATTTAGATTCATAAGGGAAATGAAAATTAATTATTGGAAATAGCTTCAAATTATTGTTTAGCCCAGATAATACAGATGATGGACTTGAGACAATAAAGGACATTCTATTAGTAAGTGGTGATGTAGTAGGATGAGAAATAAAAAATGTTTATGAAATAAATTAAGAATATATTTAAGTAAATAATATGTGTATCTTAGATATTATAACTTTTGTGTAGTGAAATAAAGGAAATGTGGGTTACTCGAAACTTAAATACTATGGATGTTAAAGGTTAAATTGGAATACCGTAATTAAAAATTAAAAAATAGGCAAAACTTAAAAACAGGATATGGATATGTATAAGCAAAAAATATATTGATAAATGTTTCAATTGAGCTTTCTATAATTAGAAATTTACTTGTTTAAATATGATATAGCAAATGTTAAGGGAAATAGAGAAGGAATTTTTGATGATGTAACCTGATATATGTACTAAAGATTTTGTTATTGAATTATTGATTACTCAATAACTACATTGCTTTCTAAATACTTACATGTAAAACTGGAAAACCAATAAAATTTGTTATAAAAAAAAAAGAATCATACGGCTGAAGAGATTTTGGATGTCTTCCATAACCATCCCAGCCAAATGGTTATTCGGTCTATTTTGAAAACTTCCAATGATATAGCACCCACAACACTGGTATCAATGCTGCTAACACTGGATGTTCTTGCTTTGACAACATATGAAGATGCAGCCTTTTTCTTTCTTATGCTTTACTCTTAGAATTAAATGATGCTCGGGGAGGAGGCGGAATGTGGCGGGAGTTAGTTAGACATAACAATATTGTACTAGTATGTGAATTCAGAGCTTGAAATAAGAGATGATAAGAATTGGCAGGTTGCAGAACAGGAAGGAAAGCCTGCATTTCAAACTAATTGGAGAATGTGATTTATGACTGTTAATTGGAGGAGGGAATTGTGCTTTGATACTATGTGCTCAGGGGAGGGGAATCCAGTTTTTGGCTTCAACTATGTTACTGCTGAAGCTATGCTACTCCCATAAAGATTCTTTAAGATAAACAATGCCTCAAAATTCTTTGAAGAGTTTCATCTGTCGGAACCATGACAACTGGAGGCAAGCTGCTCAGTTGATTAATTGTCCTCACTATTAAAAAATTTCTCCATACTTTTTTGTCCTGCCCTTTGGTGCCCTAAAAAAATGTCAAATTCCTCTCCTTTCTGACAACCCCTCAACTACTGAAAGACAGTTATCATGTCCCTGCTGATCCTTCTCTTCTATAGGCTAGACATACCTAGGTCCCTCAACATTTGCCATATGATTCAGCCTCCAGATGCTTTATCATCTTTGTTGCTCTTTTCTGCACACTTTCCAGGGTCTCAACATATTTTTTGTATCATGGTGACCAATACTGGATGCAGTATTCCAAGTGTGGTCTCACCAGCATGGTGTAAAGCAGTTTTATCACTTCTCATTGTCTTGACACTATCCTTCTGTTGATGCAGCCTAAGAGTGTATTGGCCTTTTTGGCAGCTGCAGCCCACTGTTCGCTCATATGTAAGATTTAGGATAGCTAAATCTACACCTAGATACTAAAAATTTTAAGGTGATGTAATAGGATGTGAGAATGACCTTGGAAAACAGGTGGGCAAAGAAATGCTGCATAGGAAATGATTAGATAAGAGGGAGGAGCCCAAACTGAGTAATCAGTAATGAGCAGAAAAAGAAACTTCAAAAGGATCCCATCTCATGTATCAGGCAGTAAAAAGAAACCACAGGGGATTTGTACTTTCAAACTTGCAAGACTCTGTTAATATAGTCTTACAATAAAGTAGAATTAGTTAATCTTGTCTAATCAATGTGGGAGATTGACAGAAGGTGAAGGAAGAGAAATGGGAACTGTCAGTTTTTAAGAAAAAAAAATTAAAAAAAAACAAATACATCTATTTTTATTTAAAATACTCAGAATGGAAAAGATTTTGGCAAAGGGGGACTTGAGTCATTACCCCAAACTGCATACCTTTTGTTTGTCTAAAGATGTCCACCAACTTCTGAGCTACGTCTTCTATCTGATGCTCAATGCTTTTCTTCCCCAGGCCCAGCTTCCGCAGAGAAGTGATGCCAATGTGTCTCTGCTGTTTCCAGGTGTGGCCATTGGAAAAAATAATTCCTGAAGGCATCAGCAGACAATAATAAATGATTCCTGATTACATGTGTGTTAAAAAAATATATTTAGGTACAGTTCTTGTCAAACGTCTCTCTGAACTTCAGGTGGGAATATCAAATCCTTGTACCATTTTTGTAAAATTCTGCGCATGTTATTTTTTCTTTAAAAATATTTATTCATTTTGGGATTCACATGGATACCGGAAGACATACGTGGTGTGGTGACCACAAATGCATTGCTTGCCAACCTCTATCATATATGATGGACATCAAGATAGTGTAATTGTCCATGTAACATTCCATCTTATATACACCTCAAATCACCTCACCAATTTCAATCAAATATTATTATTCTAAAATCAAAAGAAGGTTGCTGTGTTCCAGCACAATAGCAGATTATAAGAATGATCAACAGCCACAAAAATATTTTTTCTTGTGAAAAATAACTTTTTCCTTGTGAAAGAATAGAAAACTGGAAATTCAAATTTTGTAGACAAATACTAATTTTGATTGCCAGTGCTCAAAACCTGTGGTGGAATAAGAAATGTGATTTTAAAATATTGGGGATTATATATTTTAATAAATCCCATTGATTAATTATTGTGATCTTACTACCAGTATGCATTTAACAGATATATTACACAGATGATGTGAATAACATTTAACTTTGATTTTGGATAATATGATTAAAGTTGCAGATATTATTTAAATTTTAGATTTTTTAGCAGCTAGAAAAAGGTCTCAACTACACCTAATTCTTGTATATAGAAAATACTGAAAGCTTATACATTAGAATTATATTTATTTGAAGTATCCTATGTAACAAAAATAAATATTTTCCATTCCTCATCAGAGCACTTCTCAAATTATTTAATGGATATGTGATCCATGAAAATATATTGAATATATATGTTTATGTGGCCAGACAATATGAAACTGGGGGATTTAGGTGTGTTGGTTAAATGGAGGGAAAGGGTAAAAATCAAATTTGCAAAAACAGATATATGAAGGAATAGGAAAGGGATCCAAAGGAAGGGGAGGATGGAGAAACATGTAGTTGGATGGAGTTGATGAAATCCTCAAAAACAGAGGTAAGGTTTAATGAAAAAGGCAATGTCCAAATCAATATATGAATGTAATAGTACCAATAAAAAGCTATGGACGTATATAATATTTTGGTGTAAACTAGATTAAGCAATATTTCTTTTGCTTGTTTCATGCCTGTAAATCATTTTGTTTACTACATCTCTTTTTTTCTGTGCTATGCATAAGATTACCACAAATTGGAAGAGTTTGATGGTTATTAAGGTAGAATTTCTTACTGTTTGTACTTACCCCTTCCTTTCCCTAACTCATTCAAGAAAGCATCCTCTACTCGGTATGAGAATTCTTCTGGGAAGCTGGCCATTCCTTCTTTCACTGCTTTGAATCCAGACAGTATTATCATAAACTGTTGCCCAAACCACAAGCTGTATATATTTCCATATTGTTTTACAGGCTGTCAAGTGAATCAAAGATGAGAAATGTTAAAATCAAATACACGGATGATTCCCATTTAATACTGTATGCCATCTACAGGTGTTCCTAAATCCTGAATTCTAAGACTTTTCACCATATGCAATTCTCTGCTCTTTAGAATTCTTTTTTCCCTCTCTAAAGTTCTTGCCAAGAACCTTTGACATCCTTATTTTTTTTTTAATTTTGTTTTGCCTATTTTATTTGCTTATTAAATTTCTACACCCCTTTCTCACCTAAGTGACTTCCACATTTTCTTTGGAAGACAGTCATGAACACTATTTCTAACTCATAAACTGATTTTTTTTTCATTTTTGTTCTGCTCTGTATCACAGATTTTTACCCTTTACCCTTTTAACCAATGCACCTAAACGCCCCAGTTTCATATCAACTGGACACACAAACTGATAAAGTCCGATTTAACTGCATCTCCACTTCTGCCATGTTCTCCTGCACCAAGGCTCTTAGCAATGTAACCTGATTTTGCCTAGGTAAGAAAGCTGTATTCCTTGTCTTGGTTCCACTATTTCATTAGAAAATCAGAGGTAAATGAATTTTACAACTGAGGATGTAGGTTAAAAAAATATATAAAATTCAGGATGTGTTAGTAGATTCTTTTTAAGTGATTGAGAACTGTAAAATTATTTTCCAATGCTGGAATTATGTACAGTCATCAGGATTCTATCCTTGGAAGGAAGCATCAGAATAATAGAATTGGAAGGGACCTTGGAGGTCTTCTAGTCCAACCCCCTGCACAAAACCCTAAAACATTTCAGACAAATGATTGTCCACTCTCTTCTTTAAAACCTACAGTGTTAGCACACGCACAACTTCTGGAGGTAAATCATTTCACTGGTTAATTGTTCTCACTGTTAAGAAATTTAGTTCTAGGTTGCCTCTCTCCTTGATTACTTTCCACCCGTTGCTTCTTGTCCTGCCTTCAGGCGCTTTGGAGAATAGCTTGACTCCCTCTTCTTTGTGGCAACCCCTGAGATATTGGAACATCATGTTACCCTTCGTCCAATAGAGTATTACTTAAACTAGGTGTACCTCCAAGCAACAGTGATACAGGAGAACATGGCAGAAGTGGAGATGCAGTAAAATTAGGCTTTATAATAACTAGGTCATACTATACCACATACAAAGCAGATATAAGTATCTGTTCAGAGAAACTATTTGTCTGAAATGTTTTAGGGTTTCAGCCTTGAGCAACGGGTTGACCTCCAAAGTCCCTTTCAACTCTGTTATTCTGATGCTTCCTTCCAAAGATAGAATCCTGATGATTGTACACAATTCTAGCAACGCAAAATAATTTTACAGTTCTCAATCACTTAAAAAAAATCTGCTAACACATTCTGAATTTTATTTTTTTTAACCTACATCTCGAGTTGTACAATTTATTTACCTCTGATTTTCTGATGAAACAGTGGAACCAAGACAAGGAATACAGCTTCCTTACTTAGGCAAAATCATGTTACAATACTAAGAGCCTTGGTGCAGGAGAACAGGGCAGAAGTGGAGTTGTGGTTAAATTGGACTTTATAAGCACTAAAATCGAGCTCATACTACACCACATATAAAGCAGATATAAGTATCTGTTCTACATCTTTCTTCTCCAACCAGCTACGTATGAGTCATTATCTAAAATAGAAACTACTCTTCAGAACTCCGATCCGGATCGTTTTTGAAATTATTATACAATTGCAAATTTAGAAGGGACCATTTAGGCGATCAAGTTCCACTTACTGTCCACTGCAGGAATAGAGAATAAGGCATCTTCAACAGAAGAAAGTCTAGCCTGCGCAGAATGAAGGGGAACCCACCTTCTCCCTGAAGGATTGGTTCTATTATCAAACATTTCTTAGAAAGATTGAACTAAAATCTGCCTTCTAAAAATTTAGCCCTAGTATTTCACATTGTTCTCTGTGGAGCAGCTGTAAGCAAGGCTTACCTTAATATCGTGCCATAATTTTAGTATAAAGAAAACATTTGAGAATTATCTGGTTAGAATTAAATACCTTAAGGTAGTAATCTTCACGGAGCCAAAGTCCACTTGCCAAGGCAGTCCCAAGGAGAGGAAGAGCCAAAGGACCAGGAGGCAAATGTCTTCGGAACCAAAGTTGTTTCAGGAAGAAGAGAATTAACAGAACAAGCAGCAAAAAAACCAAAATTGTCCCTGTCACCATCATTGTCCTGCTACTGCTTTTTCTTTGAGGCTCACTAGTACATCCAGAGATGGTTGTATCCTTTTGTCTGATGCTTTTTGCTCTTCTTCCTGTTTCACATATTTCATTGATGGGATGTAGCAAGATATCTTTTGATTACCACTGGAATTTTGTCAACAAGTTGTTATATTAAACCACATGAATGAGATTACCTCTGACCGTGCGTCACTCAAATAATAAAGAGATTTATTTTTTAAAAAAAAATTAGTCCTGTATAACCCAATGTGTCCATAACGTCATAGTATGCCAGCATGATTAATAGTTTTAGCCCGGGGGGAAGGGGTGTTATGTCCTGAGCCTATGCAAGCAGGCTCGAGGCATTGCAAACAGTCCCGGGCAGGTGCAAGCTGCCCGGGACCAGACAGGCTGTCACCAGTACTTGTGCGCATGCGCAAGTGCTGGTGCGCCAAAAGTTGCAGATTGACCCGGGAATGGCCTATAAAAGAGGTCGGGAGTTTTGGGCGTTGTCGGCGTCTTGTAACCAGTATGCTGAACTGAAAATAAAGAGGTTCCTGAAAACTACAACTGCTTCTCGTGTCTTGCCATTTTGCGAAGGACGCAACATAACCCATTGCGAGTGTAGTGCCATACTACCTAATGCCAGGTATTTCTTTTTGCTTCCATCAGTCTTAGTGTTCTGTTTCCTCTGTGTACAGGAATGTTCTCTGTTAACTCTGTTTTGCCAATAGAGTTACAAAATCCTCTAAATACTTAGGAGATTTTCTGGCTCTCTGTGACCTCCTAACTTCTGGGTACCTGCCAAGTACCCCTTGACTGAGGGGTGATGCGTACCTGTCCCCCCTATTACACCCTGGTGGTTTCCAAGGACTGTGCTCCAATGCCTGGCCTGCTTGCTTGCCCACCGGGCTCGTCAGGCCAGGGCTTCTCTCTTTGTTTGACCTGGTTGACCTGCCTAGCTGCAGGCTCTCTGGCCCTTCTAAGTGACTGTCACTGTTGGGCAATTCTGTAGAACCTCCTAGGTCCGCCCACGACCTGTCAGGAGGTTGTTTGTCCCCTGGTTCCCGTTCTGTTCCCGGGCTTGTGGGGGTTTCAGTGCTGTCCCAAAATTCAGTTGTCCCCTGAGTGAAGTCAGAGGTGTTGTAGTCGGGATTTGGTTCCTCGACCACCTCCCTGTATGTTTGCCCCCTTCTAGGGACAGGGGTAGTGTCGGACCAACTAGGATTGTGTGCCAGCTCTCTTGCGGGGTATGGTTTGTTGGGATGCTCCCGGGTATCCTCCCTGACTGGAGTACTGAGTGATGCGGGTGAGTAGTGATTATGCCCCCGGGGTGACTCCCTGGCTGGAGTAAGCGTTGATGCTGATATCTAGCTGAGCTCCTTGAATTCCTGTTTGGAGCACTCGCGGAATCTTGGGATAAGCTGTCTGTAACTTCCTCATTAATGATGGGCAGCAGCCCATACCCTTCCCTTTGCCCAAAAGGGTCCCCCTCCCCCCCGGAAAAGACCCAGGAGTCTCAGCGGGAAGGTCCCATCTAGGGCGAAGCTGGTCGATGTGTCGACGCAGGACACAACCGTTGTCCAGGGACACCTCGTAAGACAGAGGACCTGTGACCCTGGATATAGTAGCGGGGACCCATGAATGACCACGCCCGTAATTACGAGTCCAAACCGGGGCACCCACAAGAAGTTGTCTAGGTGCCCTGGGGTGTGTGAAAGAAGAAGGAGTCTGTCCTGATGCAACCGCTCAAGCTTGGTAGTCAGTTTGCGCCCCCAACGAAGTTCAGCTGGGCTTCTCCCCGTAGAAGTGGACGGTGTAGTGCGATAAGAAAGGAGGAAGTCAGCCAACCTGTGATGCCAGTCTCTGTAGGTAATTTTCTTCAAGGCGTCCTTGGTGATGTGAACCATGTGTTCAGCCATACCGTTGGTGGACGGGTGGAAAGGTGCAGAGGTGGCATGACGAATCATGTTAGCCTGTAAGAAAGCTTGGAATTCGGAAGACATGAATTGAGGGCCGTTGTCAGACACGAGGACGTCTGGAAGCCCGTGTGCAGCAAAAATCCCCCTCAGTACTTGAATAGTCTTTGCAGTGGTGGTGGAAGAGACAGGTACAACCTCAAGCCATTTTGAATGGCTGTCAACGAGGACCAAGAATTGACCCTGAAAGGGTCCAGCGTAGTCAATGTGCACCCTAGACCATGGAGACTGTGTTTCCTCCCATCTATGTACAGGAGCTTGGGGCATTTCGGGGCGCGAGCGTTGGCAAAGGTGGCATGCGTGCACCTTAGCTTCAATGTCTCTATCTAACCCAGACCACCACAAATGGCTGCGCGCAAGCGCCTTCATGCGTACAATGCCAGAATGACCCTCGTGGAGGGAACCTAAGACCCTAGTCCTCATTGAGGTAGGAATGACAACTCTGCTTCCCCAAAGCAGACAACCCTGGAAGGTGGACAACTCGTTCCTTTTAGACCAGAAACTCTGAAACTCAGTACCAGGACAGCTCTCTGGCCATCCAGATAAAACCCAAGAAAGGACACGTGAAAGTGTGTGATCTGTGCCTGATTCAGCGGCTACATCTCTGGCATTTAAAGGAGACTCGGGCAAGGCCTGAATGGAGAGAAGATTGATAGCTGGTGCAGGGTCAGCTTCTATTACCGGCAGGGGTAACCTACTGAGGCCATCAGCATGGCCCATTTCCTTCCCAGGTTTGTGAAATAGGGAGAAATCATAGGCAGAAAGAAAGATAGACCATCTTAGCATTCTGGGGGAGATGATTTGGGGAGTTTGCTTACGTGTGGTAAACAATCCCAACAAAGGCTTATGGTCAGTGAAGACCGTGAAATGCCTGCCATATAAAAAATCATGGAATTTTTTAATTCCAGCAACAACAGCTAAAGCCTCCCTGTCTATTTGAGCATAATTACGCTCGGCAGAAGACAAGGTTCTGGAGTAATATGCAACAGGAACCTGAGTTCCATCTGACCTGAGGTGGCTTAGTACAGCTCCTACCCCATAAGGAGAAGCATCACAAGCGATGCACACAGGAAGGGATTCATTGAAATGTGCAAGTACACTGTTACACTGTTACCACTGCAAAGACTATTCAAGTACTGAGGGGGATTTTTGCTGCACACGGGCTTCCAGACGTCCTCGTGTCTGACAACGGCCCTCAATTCACGTCTTCCGAATTCCAAGCTTTCTTACAGGCTAACATGATTTGTCATGTCACCTCTGCACCTTTCCACCCGTCCACCAACGG